TACAGAAACAACAGCAACCACAGCCTTAACACCAACTGAAGGTACAACTCCAACTACAGAAACAACAGCAACTCCAGCATCAACAACAACTGAAGGTTCAACTACAGCTACAGCATCATCAACAACAGAAACTTCAACTGCAAGGACAGAAACAACAGCAACTGAAGGTACATCAGCAACCACAGCATCAACAACAACTGAAGGTTCAACTGCAACTACAGAAACAACAACAACTACAGCATCAACAACAACTGAAGGTTCAACTGCAACTACAGAAACAACAGCAACTACAGCATCAACAACAACTGAAGGTTCAACTGCAACTACAGAAACAACAGCAACTAGAGCATCAACAACAACTGAAGATACAACGGCAACCACAGCCTTTACAACAACTGAAGGCACAACAGCAACTACGCCATCAACAACTACTGAAAGTACAACTGAAACTTCAGAAACAACAGCAACTTCAGCATCAGCAACAACTCAAGGTTCAACAGCAGCTGCAGAAACAACAGTAACTACAGATTCAACAACAACTGAAGGTTCAACTGCAACTACAGAAACAACAGCAACTACAGAATCAACAACAACGGAAGGTACAACTTCAACAACAGCAGCTACAGCATCAACCAAAACTGAAGGTACAACAGCAACCACAGCCTTAACAACTACTGAAGGTACAACTGCAAGTACAGAATCAATAACAACTGAAGGTTTGACTGGAACTACAGAAACAAAAGCAACAACAGTTTCTGAAGCAACTACAGCTTCAACAACTACTGAAGGTACAACTGCAGCTACAGGATCAACAACAACTGAAGGATCAACTTCAACTACAGAAACAACAGCAACTACAGCATCAACAACAACTGAAGGTTCAACTGGAACTACAGAATCAAGAGCATCAACAACAACTAAAGGTACAACAACAACTACAACATCAACAACAACTGAAGGTTCAACTGCAACTACAGAAACTACAGCAACTACAGATTCAACAACAACTGAAGGTTTAACTGCAGCTATCGCAACAACTGACACAGTAACAACAACAAAGCCAACAACAACAGCAGCAACAACAACAAAGCCAACAACAACAGCAACAACAACAACAACACCAACAACAACAGCAACAACAACAACAACAAAGCCAACAACAACAACAAAG